TAGTGCCAGAGCACTTGCTGCCAACGCTGGCCACCGGCATCTCCAGCCACCCTAACTTCCAAGGTGGCAGCCCTCCACCTCTGCAGCCCACCAACAGGGGGCTTTCTCTCCCCCTCCCTATCAGCAGATGATAATCTTGACCACAGTGGGAACCAATACCTTAGCCACCTGTCCTCAAAAACAAATCCACTTTGGAAATACTCATTTTAAATAAGGAACGTGAACATACTCCCAGGCCAAGAGCTCTAGATCCCTCACCTGGCCACACCTCTGAAACTTGTTGTTGTTAAGTGCCGTCAAGTCGGTTCCGACCCACAGCGACCCTGTACAGGGTTTCCGAGGGTGTAAATCTTTACGGGAGTAGAAAGCCTCATCTTTCTCCCGCGGAGCAGCTGGTAGTTTCGAACCGCTGACCTTAAGGTTCGCAGCCCGATTCGTAACCACTACGCTAGACCTCTGAGACTAAGAAGAGAAAAATGCCCACAATAATTCATCCAGACTAAACTGAGGTCTTGTGAGCAGATACCCTAATCTAGCCACAGCAAGCTCTTAGACGTGTGCAATCCTACCATGAACGTCTGCAGAGCTCTTTCAAAGCCAGCTACACAGGTGCTAGTCTGGCACCACTTTTTCCTTCTTCCAACCTCACGGCAGTCTGCTGAATCATCAGGACCCCAGCACTATCCCTAAGTGCACAGCAGGTGGCTTCTTGGGGTTCCCATCAGAGTTAGACTCTGTCCCCCTCTCACAGGCAGATCAAACAGTCAAAGTTACTGTCATCAAGTCAATTACAACTCATGTCGGCCTTGCAGGGCGGAGTCCAACTGCTCCCTAGGGTTTCCTACACTGGAAATACTTATGGGAAGCCTCCTCTTTCCCCCAAGGAGCAACTGCTGGGTTTGAACCACTGACCTTGTGATTAGCAGCCCACTGCTTCCCCTATGGTGCCACCAACATTCCTTCACAAACAAATACAACTGCAATAGTGTAAGTATCTCTACACAAAACCATAAAGGAGTTCTGGTAGTATGACGGTTATGAGTCAGCAGTTCGAAACTACCAGCTGTTTCACAGGAGAAAGATGAGGCTTTCTGCTCCTGTAATGAGTCAGAACCAACTCCATGGCATAGCACACCACCACCACACAAAACCATCCAGACGCAGTGGTTAAGGGCTCAGTTGCTAACCAAAAAGTCAGCAGTTCAAACCCACTCAGCTGCTTCTCACAGAAAAAAGACCTGGCGATCTGCCCCCATAAAGATGCCGTCCTAGAACTAGAAAACACACTGGAGGGTCCGAATCAACTGGAAGCACACAAGACCACAAAACCATCCTGGTACCCAATCTGATCCAAAGCAAGTTTGTGAGAACGAAGCTCAAACAGCACTAGATAAAAGGATGAAACCTGACTTCCCTCAGCACTCCACCCTGGAAAGGGAGCTACCTGAAGGAAACACCTTTTTACACGTGACTCCAATTGCCTGGGGCCTGTGACTTCACTTGACACCTATGTGCAGCTTTGAAAACCCTGCCCTCCCCAGTAGCTCCCCGAACTGGTGTCACTGGACTGTAACAAGGCTGGGCTGTTAGCCAATCAAGAGGTGTGCTCTCAAGTTACTTTTATGATGAAAGTTTCCAATGAAGACCAACTGTCCTCGAGTCCATCTGCCTTGCAGTGCCCCTATCACACAGAATCCTACTGCCCCTTAGAGTTTTCCAGGCTGTGTTCATTGTGAACTGAGTGATCGTTTACATGGGAGCACATGGGTTCTACACTCAATGCTTCATTATAGTGATTACAGTCTTCTCCAGGCACCATCATTCAACAGTATTTGCTTCTAGTCCCTCTGTTTTTTGTTTGCTTGGTGGGTTTTTTTGTTTGTTTGTTTGTTTGTTTTGGGGGGGTGTACACAAAAACACTCAGGAATAAATAATCACTTAAACCACCAAAGGGGACACCTGCAAGCCTGCCTCCCAACCACCAGTACATGGTCAAGGCTGTCATTTTTAAAGGGGCAGACTGACTCATCTTTCTCCCAGAGGGATTTGACCCGCTGACCTTTCATTGAGCAGGTCAATGCTTAATCCACTGCACCCTAGGACTTCTTTCCAATAAAGAGGAAGTCTCAACTACAAGAATTTCATATTTTCTAATAAAGCAATTACATAATACAAGCAGAGTATGCCCACACTGTCATTGTGATTGACAACTTTTAGTCGAGGACTTCGGACGCGACATGCTCAGCTCCTAATCTTAACTGTCCTCTTTCTGCTTCTGTTGTTACGAAAATACAGTCACAAAACTGGTCAGAGTCCCTAGTGAGCAGGACATTTAGGGGACGGCTGTAAAATCGGATCTTCTAGAAAGTCCAGCTCCCAACATCTGTCACTGGACAGCAGCCCACGAGGCTCTACTTCCACATCCGTGAGGCCCCACGAAGACTCACAAACATCACACAAAAGTCTGTCTGCTCGTGGACTACCGACGTGAACAGAGAGAGAGCCAATTGAGAAAAGAGGGTGGGGGCCTCAGGATTACACACGACAGAGAACAGAGCACCCTTCCTAACCTCGATGCCTCCCTGCCACACAACTAAAGAGGAAGGCCCAGCTGTACTGTGCTGGGCTCGGAGCAAGGCTGGCAGAGGTGCCCACCGGGCACAGGTGTAGTCTTTCTCCTGCCCAAAATCGAGCACAGTGCAGGGCCTCCCCAACCTTCCTGGCCACAAGGACCCTCCCACCAGTTTTCCACCAAGTACCTGCAGCTTGGTGGGGGCCCGGGGGTTACTGAAAAAGAAGGTCTGCTCAGCTGTGTTTTAACAGATATACAGAGGTGTGGGTGGGAAAAATGCTGACGTTTTGTATAGTATACTACAGCCTTGAAACACCTTTGTCAGACGTTTCTAAAGGTCATACATAATTTCCACCCAAAGGCATTGACACATCTCAGGAGCAGAGCAGAGATTACCATCAAACACCCACAAACACGTTAGTACCCCAAGTTTAGTGCACAAGCTGTAAACCTCCCTAACCTACTCCCAGGCAAATGAGTCCCTGTTACTGTCAGTTTGGCACCGTCTTGACCCCCACACTTGGACAGGTTAGCCTCCTCCTCCTCCAGACAGCAGGAAGGGAGCCGTGGGCATCCCTGTCTCTGCTCCTACAACTGCGCCCGCCCACGTGACCTGAGAGGCGGAGCCTTCGGCCCAGCCCACAGCCCGCAGCAGCCAGGCGGATGGGAGGCGGCGGCAGCGGCAGCGCGGCGCTCTCGCTCTCAGAGCCGCTCAGGGAATCCCTCACTGTCAAACTTCTGCTGCAGGGACGGCCGCTGCCGAGCCCACAGCCACCCTCTGTCAATGTTCTGGGTCCCGGCCACCCTCGATGCCCCTGCAGAGCCTCTGACCACCAACGACTTCAACAGGCACAGAGCTAGCCAAGCGATCTTGACAGTGGCCAGCCTGACCTGAAAATACTGAGAAGGTGACAGGTGCAGCTAAGATGGCACTGGAGAATGGTTTTGAGACAAGGACACCACCAGGGCAGACTCTATCTAGCCAATAGCCTTCTGCAGGCTGAACCAGAGGCCACGCTGGGCCGGGGTTCGCTTCCCCAGCTCCCAGAGAGGCCTCTGTGCCAAGACTGCCCCTCTGGAGGGGGTCTCTCCAGCAATGTGACCGAGCCAGTCAGGAGTAAAGGAACACAAGTCAGGTGAGGACAGGGGCAGCCAGGAGGCCAGAGCTCCAAGAAGAGGCAGCCTCCGCTCCCAGTCCCACCCTAGACAAGGAAAGAACCAATTTCCCTCTGATGCTGTGACTGATGCCCACCGCGTCAGGGTCGAGCAGAGCCCCGAGGATGCAGTCACTCAATTACAAGGCCCCCAAAGACAAGCACTGAAATTCAGTGACCAGTCCTACAGGACATGCTATAAAGCTACCGCACACTGTGACAGACCCAGGATATGAAGGATGGGAAACCCAGTCACACAATGGCTGTGTGTGCGCTCGCACACGCGCGCACACACACACACACACACACACAGGTGTATGTTCATGGACACGTTCATACACAGGTAATGGTGAGTTCCTCACACGGGTACATAAATATGTGTCATAGACACATACATGACCATGTATACATACACCAAGTATACACACGTGTAATTATGAGCACACAGATACACGTACACACATATGCACACACAGAGATATAATACACACATACAACTATACATACACAGGCAGTGGGTATGTGCACAAAAAGGTGTACATACTCACAGATGTGTGTACACGCACATGCACATGTATATACACACAGTTACAGCATACAGACATGCACACAGATTTACATACAGGTGTGCACAGTCATACAAAAAGGTATAATACACACAACTGTACATACACACAGAGTAAACACAGAGGTTTACATACACAGAAGTATGTAAACATGCACATATATACACAAGCGCACATACACTCACAGGTGCACACGCACACACGGGGTTCAGACACACAGGTAGACATGCATGCAAGTGTATGAATACACATACACACAGAAGCATATACACACATATGCACAGGTACACACATGCACAGGTGTACACATAGGTGTACACACACAAATAGAGGGTACAGACACACAGGTATATATGCATGCACGTGTCTGGATACTACACACACAGACACATATGCACACATACATGCACAAGTGTACGCACGCATAAGTATAAGCACGCGCACACACACATATAACAGGGTACAGACACACAGGTATACATGCATGCTAGTGTCTGGATACTACACATACACACAGAAGCATACACACACATACACGCACAGGTGTGCACACACGCACTGGCAAGCCCTACACGCACACCCCCAACCCCGGTGCCAAGACACCTGTTTAGAGGCCAAATCCGTGCAGCCCCAGGCCCTGCCTCACGGCCCAGAGACCTAAGCTGCACTTCCCGGAACTCCGGGGTGCCCGCGGGGGCGGCCACTTACCTGGGGGCAGCTGGAAGTTCTGGATGTTGGTGGGGTTCTGCGGTGGCTGTGGCAGACGCGGGGCCAGCACGGTGGGCGTTAGGGTGGCCCGGAGGCCGGGCGCGGCGGCCGCGGGAGTCCGGGGCGGCAGGCTGGGGGCGAC